CGGCCAGAGGAGGAGCCAAGGGGGGGCGCCTTTTTTTATGTTTGCTCCCCCTGCACTTAGAACCTGGCTACGCCACTGCCACAGCCCTCTCCACTCCGCCAGCTCCCAGCCACGGTGCTCTGCTTCCCGCTGCCGGTGAGTGCGGGGAGGTTGGGGAAAGGTTCCCCTTCACTCACTGGCGGTGAGAAGCAGAGCGATGTGGCCCCAGCCCACTCCGCTTCCCTTGCCCCAGCCCCAGCTGAGTCGCTCGTGGGGAGGAGGGGGTGGTGGGAAGCTGAGCGCCGCAGCTGGGAGCTGGCGGAGTAGGGCTGGCTGGGGCCGGGCTGCTCCTCGCGCTGCAGCTGGTGAGCGTGGCAGGGGGGAGGGATCCCTTCCCCCAAGCCCCCTCTCCCGAGTGACACGGCTGGGGCCAGGACTAGGGAAGCAAAGCGGGCTGCTCCCGGCCACCCGCTAAGCCCCTGGGCCACTCTGGGACTGTGGGACCCCCCAAAAGTGCCCCTCTACAGCTCCTGCCTCCCAGACCCTGGGGGGAAGAGGCCTGGGGCCCCACACAGCCCCCCATGGGGGGGCTGCATAGGGCACCCAAATAGCTAGGGACGGCCATGACCACAATATTTGATTATTGGGGAGAAAAGGGGCAAGATTGGAGGATGTCATATCCGCCTATTACATAATTCTATGGTAGAGCAGGAAAACTGGAGGGGATTTCTATCCACTTTACCCTCAAAATATTACAGTAAAAGCATGTTCTGAATGGTGCAAAGTCGAGCGGTGTGAGGTAGGGCCGGAATCAAGGCTGTCTGGGCCTTGTTAATTCAGCCCCCTTGTGTCTGTGCATTATTGTATGATCTTTAATGACAGGATCACACACTGCAGCGCTCATTAACACAGGACCCTGCCTCATTCAGGGTATGTCTATCTACACTGCAAAAAAAACAAAACCAAAACTCAAGCAAAAGACACTGCAACAAGTCTCAGAGTGGGGGTCAGCTGACTCTGGCTGGGGAGTGGGGTAGGGAGAGGGGCTCAGGCTGTAGGGATAAAATTAGCAGAGCAGATGCTGGGGCTGGAGCCTGGGGTCTGAGATCCTCCCCCCTTGCCAGGTTTCAGAGCTCCGGCTCTGCCCAGCCCCAAGGTCCCCTGGAAGGGGTTTTCCGTAAAGTACAGCCCTGTTCTGGAACAGTCAGAACTTTAAGGAGTCAAGGGACAACAGTTTGTTAATTTCCCCTGGAGTCACCGAACAGTTCAATTTAAACACAGCAGTTGGATCGATCTCTTTCAGAATCCAATGAACCTTTGAAATCGATTCTTCTGAGGGTGACCTCCAGACAAAAGTCTATTTTGAGCTGTTTAGCCAGGCAACAGACCTCTGTTTTCAGGGCAGGGGCCTGCTGCTTTCTCCCCCACCAGAGCTGTGTGTCTGCTAAAAGGCAAATCATTTAGTTCCTGCCCCCCTCTGGTGCAATGGATGGGGTCACACCCCCTCTCTTTAGTTTGAGGGGTCTGTTTACCTGAGATGTAAACACATTCTCATTATCTATCCAAGTCCTATGGCAGAAACTCCGGGGAGGTGGGGGTGCTTTACATGCATAATTGATGTAGCAAGCCCAGAGGTGCCGGGGCTCTGAACTGCCAAGCCCAGTGGGCCACAGGTGCGGGATCTAGAGGTACAGGGGGTGCTGCAGCACCCTCAGGTTTTAGCCACGGCTCCACTGCTGGCTCCCCACACCCTGTCTGTTAGCCCCCCGGCACCCCACCCAGCCCACCGGTGCCTGGGTCCCAGCAGCTGGTCCCCCACCCCCTGAGAAATGTGCTCCCTGCTGCAAGGCCCCTGGGCAGCCTCTCTAGGACCAGGACATCTCACCCCCAGGTGCTTGAGGATTTTGGGGCGCCTCTGGAACAATCCCCGGGCTCTATTAGAAATGTCCCTTTCCCACCCTCCCTGGGGTCTGGATGTATCTTTTCTGTCCAGTCACTTCTATGCACGATGCCTCCTTAATGCGGGGAGAAGCTGCCCGTGCCCACAGGCGGTGGGGGCCCCAGGAGGCAGGGTCTGGAGCAGGGGGGCTGCAGGTCGCTACGTTGATCGCTAGGACCCAGGAGCAGCTGGGAGGCGGCTCTGGGGGGAGCGAT